CTAATTGATAGAGTTTTATTACTCTGATGATAAAAGATATACAGTATCTAGCTTCTGACATATTTTTTAAAATTTATCGATGTAGGTCAAAATTTAAGTCAAATCAGTGATAACGATTCATTCAAATGTATTTTCAAAGATGAGCTATTAAAATGAAATACCAAAGAAATTTCCCCAAACACCAATTTTTATTCTGTATGTGAAGCACCAATTACAATGTGTAAGAATGGGTACTTTATTTTTGACTTATTTCCCCTAAGATTTTTCTTACATCAAGTTACCAAAAAACACAACATATATTTCAAGCAAATGAAAATTAGAAGAGGAAAACATTGATAGAAGTTGAAATGTATTCATATTAATAACACTTTTTCTATTAAAATATATGATGACCTTGTATTTTTCAGAATTTTTAACTCCTTTTTCATTGAAAAGAGCATAAATTATTTAAAGACCCAAAAGCACTATTCAATATATTACTAAAATAGTGTGCTGTCACTATTTAGACAGTATTGTTTTCAAATAACTTTAGAGATCTCTGTATATCCACCTTAGTTGAACATACCTAATGATTTATGGGAACACATTGTGCACTAAGAGATCGCTAATGTATGTTGCCTTTCCCCTTAAAATATTTTATCTTTTGATAACATATGGCTTGTGCATGGCTCTCTGTGTGTGTGATCCTGCCCATTTAAACTGTGGTGTGTCTATTGGAGAATGTGTTTTAGGGATTTTGAGGAGAGGGGGTCATGAACTTGTAAACTTTCTTACAACCCTGCTTAATAAATAATTGTACCAGTAATGATCCAAATAGTTAAACCAAGTGAACAAAATGGACATTAATTAATGTTAATGCTTTACAGAAAAGAGGTCTTTACATTTGAGTAAAATGAAGAAATTCAACCAGAGAAATAATATATGTTAAAAATTGATGAGTATAATGAATCCACAATATGTTTCAAGTTAGTGGAAAAAGTATGCATAATATTTTAATTCCATTTTTCTATTTTAGGAGTGGCTTATTAAAAGGAATATTTATTTTTCTTTCAATCCTGAATACAAAAGACCTTAACAGAAGTTATTTGAGAATCTGGGCCAATGAAATAAGAAAACTGATTTTAAAAGTTGTATATATATATTTCTGTACATGAATGTAAAAATACTGCTTTCCTGAGCTGTTTTCTACAATAGAATACAGACTGACTTGCAATAGTCACTCAATAAATGGTTACTGGGTCATCAAAACAACACATTGTTTCCATGAATTTTTATTTTATAAGAAAACTACTCAGTTTTTATACTCATCAGATTGAAATGGGAGAGAAAAGGAAGGGGGAGAAGGAAAGAGCGGTGAAAATTAAGAGTTAGAGGATGGAATCAACAGGCCTCATTTTGCAGTTCATTTCCTCTCTGTCTTTGAATTCCATTTTTTTTTTTTAAGTAAAAACCTATGGTATGATACACTCAGGATCATATTCAAACAATCTTGGTATTTTCGATGCAGAATATGGAAGGTGACTGATATTCAATATTTCTGTATCGCAGTGAATGACATTCTGATGCCCAGGAGATGCATAAATTTACAAACCATTGCATTTATGTAAAATATAGATAATGTCATATAAGCAAGATGGGGGAGAAAAACCTGTGATCAAACTAGTTGTAGCTGTGAGATTCAATCAAATGTAATTGTAACAAATCGAAATCTCATAAAATGCCAATTTCAAGTATTTTTTCTGGTCTATAATACTTCATTTTTACCACACATTGATTCTCAGTACATGTTTTGTATATAATGAAAATACAGTCTAGTTAGTCTTCTTTTTTACTTTCCTACCCACCTCACTGCCATTTGCGTACACACACATACACAAAAACTCTCTCCCATATAAGCTGATTAAAATTAATTCAGATGGACAAACAGGGTCTTTGGTGTAAACAGTTAGTTTAGATTAGTAATAATGTCATGTCAGTTTGAGTCATATTTGCATTTTTTTAAAATAAGATAGGCCTTGCTTATTTTTTTGAGAAAATGTTTGTATCCATTTCAAAATTTTCTGGCCACTGAAATAGATTTGTTTACCCACAGAGCAAAGTGAGCATTGTAAGTAATAGCTTAAAATTTTTACACTTTTTTGTTCTCAGACTAATTTTTAATGCAATCATTGCCTCTTACAAAATGACTTTGGTAATTTAATTTGCTGATAATGCATTTTTAAGTAAAGTGGGAATTATACAAGAATTTATATTGGTCTTTCATATTTAATAAAATTAAGAGCCTGAAAGAAACATGTTTTGCAAAATTAAATTACTTTTCATTCAGTTCTATTGGCTGCTGATATTTTATCTTTACAGAAATGTAAATATATGTAATATTATATTATAAATAAAAAGTATAAATCTCCAGAAAATAATTTAAAATAGCTTTTATTTAAGTGTGAAAGAAAAATTGCATCAGGTACTTAGGTAAGGAAGACTTTATTCAAAACTATTGCCATAGAGATCAAGGTTGTTATAGTTGAGGAAAGGATTTAAACTGAACTCTCTTGAAACAAAAGTCAAGAAAGTTTGTAAGCAGGGCCTCCCTGGTGGCACAAGGGATTAAGCACCACACTATGAAGCAATCCACAGCCTCTGCAGCATGAGTTTGATCCCTGGCTGACCAGGAAGAAACCCATGTGGCGAGGCAGACCTCTCCAGTCTGCCCACTGTTCCCCTCAGCAGTCAGTCTCACTGTTCTATTCCCCACTCTGTCTCTGGTGAATCCTCTCACCCCCTGCATCTCTGGCCTGCACCCAAGCTCTTGAATGAATAAATAAATAGATCTTTTTTAAAAAGGCATTATTTAAAAAAAAGGAAGTTTATAAGCATTTGGATGAGCTGGAAGAATCTAATGATCAGTATATGAAAGGGCAGTTGATCAGCATGATTAGGTGAGATGCATTTGCTAATTGGTGTTTATAGAAATTAGGCATCCCCCTTCCCACAGAGACTGGAGAGATAGGGAAGTCATCTTTCTTGATGATTGCAGTGTCAAAGAGATGGGTATCAGGTCCTTGAGAAACACATTCCTGTCAAGAGGTTTCAAAAAAAATGTGTTTGTAGAATTAAGGCTACTAGAAGGAGAGAGTTAAGGGTGGGAACAAAAGAGAGGTCCAGTGGATTATGGTAAAGGATTATGGGTTCTTTGGTGGTGGGTATGATCTAATAATATGCATCTGAAGAAGAGTGAGCATATGTCCCTAAATCATTCACAGTGTTTTAAGCCAACGATATTTCAATAAAAAATATAAACTATAAGAATAAGAAAGATTTACATCTCAAAGTGGCAGAGAAAAAAATTTACAATTGCAAGCTTTGTAAAGTAAGTGTTCTAAGAAAAGGAAGTCCAGGGACCTAGACTTAGGAGGAAAGCTGTCTAAAATTTATTCAAACTGAGGGAGAAATTTAGTGCTGTTTTTCTTATAAGCAAAAGACAAAAATAGTTTGTTTTAAAAAGTGATAATTGGGTGAGCAGACCTCTCCTGTCTCGCCCGCTGCTCCCCTCAGCAGTGTATTTTGTCAGTCTGCCTGTTCTGTTCCCTGCTCTGTCTCTGGTGAATCCTCTCACACTCCCTCACATCTGGCCTGTACCCCAGCTCTTGTCTAAATTTAAAAAAAAAAGTTTTTTTTTTTTTATTTTAACATTTATCATTTTTTTTCTTTTTTTTAAGATATATTTATTCATTTACACAAGCACTGGGTACAGTCAGAAGCACGGGAGGGTGAGAGAATTCACCAGAGCCAGACCAGGGAGCAGAACAGGCAAACTGAAGAAGTACACTGCTGAGGGGAGCAGCAGGCGCAGCAAGAGAGGCCTGCACGCCATGTGGGAACCTTGCAGGTGGCCGGGGATTGAACCGGCGCTGCGGAGGCTGTGGGCAGCTTCGCAGCCCAGCACTCAACCACTGCGCCACCAGGGGAGGCCCAACATTTATCATTTTTTACATTTTTTGACAATATTTGCTTCCCCCCACCCCTGAGCCAACACACATGGCCCAGTAGACCTCTCCTGTCTCACCTGCTACTCCCCTCAGAAGTGTATTTCAGTCAATACGCTCGTTCTGCTCCCCACTCTGTCTCTGGTGAATCCTCTCACCTCCCGGCACCTCTGGCCTCCACCCCAGCTCTTGTATGCATAAATAAATAAAAAATAAATTGTTAAAAAATGATGATGAGATGAAGGATAGTATTTAAAACTCTTATTCAAAATACAACATAGGACAAATATTAATCCATCAGTCATCCATAGAATCTATTGACAGGATAAAAATGTTTTATCAGTAGTATAAAGAACAAGTGAGATAGTAGGGGATAATGAGGTTATGATGTAAAAACTCACGCAATTTGCAGCTGCATGGAGGGAGCTGGAAGGGATCATGCTCAGCAAAATAAGCCAGAAAGAAAAAGAAAAACGAAAAACACTGGATGGTCTCATTCATAGCAGGAATTTAGAAGACCCAAAAATAACCAGGAAAAAGATGAATTATAATAAAGTAAAAATCAAAATCAACAAGCAACTATAAACCAGAGACATACTACCTATGGGGGCGGGGAGGTCTAGGGTCAAAATAATGGGGATGGGAATTGTATGGGGACTATAACCAAGATGAAAATGCATATATTGTGCAAAAAATGAAAAATGATGTAAAAAATGTATAAAATTAAAATAAAAGGACCAGAAGGAGCCAGAAAGATGAATTAGAATTCTGATATCTTTCTGTTGGAGAATTTGCCTCCCTGAAGGATAAAAATGAAAAGCCAAGCATCATATCCATAAGTCTTATGAACTTGGAGAGAGAAAAATTGTATCCAAAGCCTATTAAAAGTAGGGATCCTCATTAATCACCCAGGTGATCTTGAGAACATTCTATGGGAGAAAGGGAGAAATGATAAACCAGAATTAAACCGGTCATAACATTACTGTTGGAAACTCCAATCCTGAAAATAGTAATGAGGTGCTGACTTGGGAACACGTATACTAAAATTGGGATGATACATACTAGATTATAATGATCCCTGCACAAGGATAACATGAGCATTTATGAGGAATTCCATAGTTTAGAAAATACATATTGCTAAGGTGGAATTGATAATGTTAGTTTCCTATGCCTGGCAAAAGAAAATTCTCTCCCAGATAAGATAACTTTAACTGAGTACTCAGAAACATTCTAATTTTTGTACTGTCTCCAAGTAGTGAGTTTAATCCCTGGATAATATAGTTGAAATAAATTGTCACTTAACAGAAGAGTAATGGTTGAAATAATGAACATTTCAAACTCAGTCCCTTAGAATCTGGAAGACACTGATACAATACAAATTAGTTCAGTTGGTGACAACAAAATAAACAGAAAGAAAAAGGTGAGGTTCTGGCATTCACACAGCATAAAATCATATTCTTTGCTATATTTAACTTGTCCTATAAGACATTGCATTCCTCATTGTGAACATTTTAACAGACTTTGATTCAGAAAAGATTTATATGTTTATTTGTAGTATGAATAAAAAAATTTACAATTACATTAGGAAATTATGAGGTGGAATATAACTAATAATACAGAAATTGAGTCTTAAAGAGTTTTAGATTAGATAATCTAGATAATAAGATAATCAAATTTTATCTAGCATGTCATTGTAATACAGATAACCTAAAAAGGACAAATTATCCAACCATGTAAACAGACAACTTGGGGAATCAAAGAGAAGAAGTGTAAATTTGGTCTTCTCAAATTTGGGTCAGTTTCTCAGATTCACTTCTAGTGTGACTATGACTTTTTTTTAATTGTACTATTTATTTATTTATTTTTAAAGATTTATTTATTTATTTTTATTTATACAAGAGCTGGGGTACAGGCCAGAGGTGCAGGAGGGTGAGAGGATTCACTAGAGTCAGAGCGGGGAGCAGAACGGGCAGACAGACCAAAAGCACTGCTGAGGGGAACAGCAGGTGCCACAGAAGAGGTCTGACATGCCATGTGGGAATCTCACTGGCCGGCCAGGAATCGAACCTGCACTGTAGAGGCTGTGGACAACTTCACAGCACTGTGCTCAACCCGCTAAGCCACGGGGAGGCCTAATCGTGCTATTTAAATGAAGCCTATATTTCATACACTGTGGTACCTTACTGGTACAAGTGTTTCATCATGCGCTCTCTGAAATGATGTTGTATTCCAGAATGAAGGAAGAATCCACCTCTGTTGGGCACAATGAGAGCTATATGTTGACATTTTTGTCTCTACATAATATCACCTTAATAATTAACAATAAAATTTAATCATTCTGTAGGAAATATAGTTGAGTCATACGTTGCCTATTTTGTAGTAAAGTTTTATGTTTATTAATTATGGAACATATTACTTAGGATGTAGACTAAGCTGTTAATCATCAAAATAGGTAAAAAGATAGTACCTTCATAATTTATTTCTCTCTGGGATACCCATACAGAAGTGAGGGATTCAGTTCTAGTAGGAAACTACTCCATGTCTCATCCCAGACACCCAAATTGAGTGATCCTTTGTACCATGCTCAACAAATAGCCTCCATTTCCATTTCCAAGGGGATATGGCAGTGCTGTGATCCTGCCACTTCAAGGGATGTGTAAAACAAGTCCATCCATATGCTAAAACAATAACTGAAAAGTAATGTGGCTGTATAATTTATTATCTGAACCAGGAAAGTTTTGAGAACTATTCACCAAAGTATTTTGTAAATACTTATGTAATTTTTTGAAATATTTATTTATTGACTTAATATGAGAGATAAGATTATATATTTGAGCCCTTTCTTGTATTTTGTTTTTGTTGTGGGTTTGTATTACTATATATTGATATTTCCCTTCTACTAGTCCTTATGCTGTGTCCCATAAATTCTGGCAGGTTGCATTCCCACTTTAATTTATCTTGAGATATTTTTGTTAAAGATGTATTTATTCATGAATAAAAGAACTGGGGTGTAGATCACAGTCATGGGGGTGAGAGGATCCACCAGAGAGTGGGGAGCAGAATAGGCAGATCCACTGAAATACACTGCTGAGGGGAGCAGTGGCCAGACGGAGGAGGTCTGCTGTGCCATATGGGTTGCTCCCTGACCTGATGGGGATCGAACTTGTGCTGCAGTTCCTGAAGATAGCTTGATAGCGCTGTGTCTTTAACCCCTGCGTCACCAGGGAAGCCCTATTTTGCGATATTTTTTAAAATTTCTTCTTGGATTACTTCATTAACCCAGTAGTCATTCAATGCTGTATTGTTCAGTTTCCATATATTGAAGTTTTGTTGTTGTTTTTTTTTTGTGATTTCTTTTTGTTGTTCATTTCTAGTTTCATAAATTCATGATCAATGAAAAAAGTTGGTATGATTTCAATCTTCAAGAATTTGTTGATATTTGTGACCCAGTATGTGGTGAATCCTGGAGAATGACCTGTGTATACTTGAGAAGAATGTGTATTCAGCTTTTGAGGCATGCAGTGTTCTGTAAATGTCTGTTAAATCCATGTGGTCTGATTCAGTTTAAGGCTGTAGTGTCCTTATTTATTTTCTGTCTGGTTGGTTTATCCATTAGTGAAATTGAGGTGTTGACATCCCCTGCCAATAATTTTTTATCCCCATGTCGGTTTTCAAATTTGACAGCAATTGCCTTATACACTCATGCTTCATGTTTCTTTTTCTTGGGTGCATATATATCGGTGTTTATATCTTTCTTATGTACTGTTGCCTTAATTATTATTAGTGCCCATCCCTGACCCTTGTTACCATTTTTAGCTGGAAATCTATTTTATCAGATATAATTATGCCTGTCCCTGCCTTCCTTTGGATTCCATTTGCTTGTAGGATTATATTCCTACTGTTTATTTCAAGTCTGTGCATAGCTTTGGAGCTCAGATGTGCTTCTTCGAGACAGAAGAAAGTTGGATTCTGTTTTTCAATCTAAACCAGACACTATGTTTTTCATTTACATTTAGAGTGATTCTTGATATATGAACTTCCAATCCTGCCATTTTGTCTTTCACTCTGTGGTTCTATTTACTTGTTTAATTCTTTGTGAATGTTCTTCTCTTTGATGTAGATACAAGAGCTTCTTTCAATATTTCTTAAAGGGAGGAGTCTAATGATTGCAATATTGTTCAGCTTCTGTTTGTTTGAAAAGGTATCTATTTCTACCTCGCATTTTGAAGAATTTCAACAGAATAATCTTGGCTGTCAGATTTTATATTTAAGCATTTTGATCAGTCCATTTCTTGCTTGGATTCCAATGCAGTTCATTCCATTTGGTTCTCTCCTTCCTTGTAGTTTTTTTTTTTTTTTTTTTTTTTTTTTTCCTCATAGACAACAGATGTATGCCTGAGCAGGGTTCCTTTATAAGTTATCTGCTGCTTCCTCCCAGCCAGCTTCAATATTCTTTCTTTGTTTCAAATTATTGGGAGGTTTACTACTATGTGTATTTGGTATAGGTTTTACTCTGTTTTTGTAACCTGGCATTCTTGTAGTTTTATGGAATTAGATGTTCAGTTCCTTCTCCAGTTTGGGACATTTTACTGTATTATTTTTTAAGTTCTCTGTGCCTTTCTTTCTCGTTCCCTTTTTACATATTCATTATTCCTATATTGCCTTTACTCATTATATCAGAAGTCTGGAATGTTTCTTAATTTTTTTCTTCATTTCTCTCTCTTTTCATCTGAATTCTTTGGGCATTATCATTTTCAAGATCCCAATTCAGTCTTCCTTTTGTCTATTCTACTTCCACAGCTTTCTCCAAGATTTTTAATCTCTTCTGTTGATCTTTTCAGACCCTCCATCTCTGTTCTTTTCTTATTTAACATTTATATTTAAATCTTCTGTTTGTTAATTTATTTGCCAGGACATTCATTTGTTTTTCTAAATTTTCTTGTGTACCTTTAAACAGCTTTTCTGTGTTGTTGTTTTAAATTTCTTTGAATTTATTTATTATCATAAATAAATTATGTTTTAATCCTGTAGCTAATGAAATCCTGTATCTAATGAAATGGAAAACTCTTCTATGTCATTTTGATTGGGTTCTGGAAATTTGATGGTATTCTGTACTGTAGATTCCCCTGGAGCCCCCCGTTTTTATTTGTCATAATTTTTATCTCCCCTTTATTTACTTCCTCTATATTAGAGCTTCCACTTTTCCAGTAGACGACACAGTATGTGAGAGTTAATCTGTAATTAAGTCTTCAGAGAGTGGAGGGAGTGCCCTACAGAGGTATGTCACTCCTGAGAGTGATATCCATATACTCTGCTCATGCCTGTGTTAACACTGCTAACTCTACTCTTGAATCTCAGACTTGGATCTCTGCTGTCTGTATACCACCGTGGTGCAGAACATTGTCTCACTGTATATGCTCAGTCCCTCTAATCATCTGTTGCCTGGGAGAAATAGGTGGTAGGTGTCATGCCTTTCTGAGTTTTGCCTTCCTCACTGGGAGCTCCACATGCCTGCTTCACCACAGCATTCATGGCAATATCTACAAGGACCTGATCCATAGCAATAATCTTTGCCTTCCTCTCCAGTCACAGATATGAAGTGTGGTTTCCACTCCTACATATGCCTCTTCACCCACTCCCCCTTTTGTGCTGAGAGTTGAACTTCCTTCACATCTCTTGCAGCATTTGGTTCAGCATAATTCCTGGTGATGGTGAGATATTTTCATTTCACTCCAAATAACAGGATCCTCTGAGTTCCAATTTGACCTCTCACTTAATTATCCTCAGAGCAAAGCATGAGACTTTTCCTGATGCCATCCTCCCAGAAAGACTCCATTTTCACACTCTTTTTATTTATTTTATTTTTATAGTCCCCAGACAATTGTACCCCCCTTATTTTGACCCCAACCCCTTCTTTCCCCGCCCCCCCCCATAGTGTGTCTCTCTGGTTTATAGTTGTTTGTTAATTTTGATTTTTTCTTTCTTATAGTTATTCTTTTTCCTGGTCCCTTATTTTTCTAGATTCCTTCTATGACTGAGACCATCCAATATTTTTCTTTTTTACACTCTTAAGTGATGCTATTGTGAATGATGGTTGTTATTTCAGGCACATTTTCAACTAGC